CCCGGGCCTGCCGGCAGCTCTCGCCTCTGGTCCTTTTCCAGGCAGTCCGGCTCCGGCGGCTTGGACAGGCATGAACGCAGAGACCGCCTGCCAGGAGCTCTAGCAGTGTGTCCCCCTCTTTCTCCCCTCTCCCCATGCACTCCATTTGGTGATGAGCAGTGCAATGAGAGTTTTGCTTTGGCTCTCTGCATTTGCAGCTCCAGACCTGTTTGCGCTTGGCCCCACATGTTTTTGGGCAGCAGAGGAACGGGAGCACCAGACCCCAGCCTGGTTCATGTTTCTTCTGCAACCCAGCTGTGACAGTGACTGGTGAACAGGGTTTTCCTGTACTGGATTACAGCGTGTGAAGGATATGTTGCAAGCTCGGCTCCCAGCTGCTGTTCGATCAGGGAGCGGGCTGGCCAGGAGGTGATGCCCAGTGCTGATGGGCTGCTTGACCCTACCGTTGGCTTAGCATTGGGTGCCTTTGACAGCCTGGATGGGTCAGGCCCTGGAGGGTGTAGATTGAATCCTTGCTGGCTTCAGGCTTAGAGATAGTCTGCAGTGCCAGGGACATGCTGGCAGCAGTGCCACAAGAGCTGGCTGCAACGTGGCCAACGGGGCCCCCTCAGTGCGTGCAGGAGCTCTGCAGTGATTGCAGGGGGCACAGGACATCTGCTCTGAAGCCAAGTGTGTGCTCCCTGGGTTTTGAGGAGTTCCTCTGTTTTCTTTGCTCTGGAAAAATTATTCTCAGAGAATATGGGACATACTCTGCTGTTCATGGGACAACTGCTCTGGAGAGTTGAGAGCTGCTGGTGTCCTTTCTGCATGGTTCGACCTCAGCTCTGGGTTATAAAGCATAAAAATGCTTCTCTGTAAAAGCTGGTTTTTCTGCAGTTGTGGAATCTGATGTGCTTCCTGGGACATTGTTTGTGGGACTCAGATGAGCTCCTGGCCTGGATCTACCTGAAAGGGTCCTTGCAGCCAGCTGATCCGATTGCAAAAGCAAGTCCAGCCAGGAAGCAGCAGTGGATGCTGCAGGGCTGAGGTTTGGAAAGCTGTTGCTGCTGTTAATCCTGTCCAGCTAAGGGCTTGCGAAGTTGCTCCTAAGTCTTCCCTCTGGAGCTAGATAGGGAAGGCTGCAGGAGGGTAAAGGCACAGATGTGTCAGGATGCTCTTTCCTGGAGTTCCCTAGTCCCTGTGCCCTTCTTCAGGGCTGCTGAATGTCACTGCAGCCCCTAAAGCATCCCCAGTGGTGTCTGCCTGTCCTCAGGGTTGCTGTGATTTCGGCTGGATGCAAGGAACCGGCTCTTGGCTGCTTTGGAGCCAGGAAGGTGCTTGCTGCCCACCGCATCCTTCTGCCCTGGATGGACTCGAGCTCCTTGAGCCAGGGAAGCTGCAGGGGATCAGCTGCAGCTCTTACCCCCCCTGCAGAGCCCGTGCAGGCCGAGTCCATCAGCATCCCCATCCTCTTGGCCCTTGAAATAATAGCCCGGAAACAAATGAGCGCTGACTATGGTTTATCTACTCTTTTCCAGGTCAGAGCGGCTTGGGGAAATCCACATTAATCAACACTCTCTTCAAGTCAAAAATCAGCCGGAAATCTGTACAGCCAACTTCTGAAGAGCGGATCCCCAAGACCATTGAAATCAAATCTATCACTCACGGTGAGGCTCTTCAGGTCCCACCTGGTGCTTTGGCTTTTGGTCCTGCTCTGCCTTGTGTCTCTGGGAACTCATGGACCTGCACTAAACCTTCACTCTCATCTCTCTGAAAGGGCTTTTACCATCCAGAGATGCTTGTAGGGCTGAGAAAACTTCTATTTTTCTCTTTATCCACCAGCATTGACTTAATTGTGATGGAAGGGAACAAGTGAGGTGGCCATGGAGGGTGGCATTTCAGGGCAGATGTGGTGTTGCATCCCTTTGGAGGGTTGATTTGTGCCTCTTAGAAGCTGTGAAGGTGTGTTTCTCCTGTGGGAGTAAGCTCCAGCCCTCCAGCTGACTTTGGGAGGATGGGCTTGGCTAGAGCACCCATTGATGCTTGCCTCACTCACTGTCTTTCCTCTGTTTCAGAGATTGAAGAGAAGGGGGTTCGCATGAAGCTGACAGTCATCGACACCCCGGGCTTTGGAGACCACATCAACAATGAGAACTGGTAAGCTGGCTGCGCAGACATGGGGACTGGTGCAGAGGGAAGGCAGCCAAGCCCCAGAGCATCCTGACCTGGAGTTGGTGCTGAGGGCTGTAGCCTGGTCCTGTGCCACCCATGCTTCGTGGGGAGCAGGCGAGAGGGTTGTTGTGGGTGGCCGCGTGGTGCCATGCTCCCTGGGGCTGATCCTGGACACTGCAAGAGCCCACAAACATCCTGCTGTTCTGGGGATGAGACAACCTTTGTTTGCGGCCGGGAGCAGCTGTGTGCCAGCAGGGCCAGTCCCCGGACCTCACTCATGTGGCTCTGAAGGCTGAACTCTGCCAGGAGTCCCTGGGACAGTGGCTGGCTGTGAGGGGTGGCCCCCCGGGCCGGGGCAGGTGCCTTCTCCTCACCACGAGCTGGGCTGGGCTTTGTGGGCTTTGATGCTGGTCTTGCTCCTGTGCCATGACCGGGTGCGAAGAGTTGAGGGATTGCCCCACTCAGCAGCTGGGTGTTTCAATGTGTTTTGGGTTTGTTTGTTTGACGGGATTCTGTGAGGTGCTAAGCATCCCTGGCTCGGCGAGCTCTGCTTCAGACAGTCAGACCTGGTGGGGGGTTCAGGGTGGTCCAGATCCCTGACACAAACCCATTGTCCTGTGTTCCTCTCTCTCTGCAGCTGGCAGCCCATCATGAAGTTCATCAACGACCAGTATGAGAAGTATCTGCAGGAGGAAATCAACATTAATCGGAAGAAGCGGATCCCTGACACGCGGGTGCACTGCTGTATATACTTCATCCCAGCCACTGGCCACTCGTACGTACCCTGCCGTCCTTGCTCAGACCCTCGGGCCTTCCCTCGCCTGCGGTCAGTCTCGGGCAGCACAGCCGTCAGGGTTGTCCTTGGGATCCTCTCGGTGTTTCCTGGGTACTTGAGGATGGCGTGTAGCTGTCCTTCCTCGGGCTGTAGTGTCTGGAGCCCTCGCCATAGCACAGCTGAGCTGCTGTACCCCAGAGAAACGTGGTTTTTCGTCTTCTTGAGGGGCCCTCAAAGCCTCCCTGAGCTGCTTGCTTTGCTTTGGTCACCTTGCTTGCTCAACCAGCAATGCATACCAGTTGCTGAGCTCTCAAATAGGATGGAAAGGCTGCCTTTACAAACAGAACGTTAAATTTTTTTGCTGAGTCCCTGCCTTTGTAAGGGGAGAAGCCGGTTTTCCTCATGCTACCGAGGGAGCGAACACCCTCCCACACCCTTTAAGGGTATTTTGTAGGTTGTTTGACTAGTCTGCAAGTGGGATGCAGTTTATTCAGTCCAGAGCTCTCCTGGCTCTGGCACTTCTCAAGTGACAGCATCAAAAGCCCAGATCTTGCTCTATTTTTTTTTTTTTTCGTAGGCATGTAGCCCGCAGTGAAAATCTGGGGCGCTTAAAAGTGTCTTGAAAAATGTGACTCAAAGTATCACAACATAAAACAAGACCTAAGTTTCCTTTCAATTTGTGTCAGTTCCTTCCACAGGCTGGCTCTGTCTGCGTGGGGATTTTTTTTGGGTCTGTTTTCAAAAGTAAACTTAAGCCGCCAGCACTGTATTAATGTCAGCCTTTTCCTCTTCCCCGTGTAGAGATTTATTCCAATAGAAAAGACTTTGTTTTGCTTCTGTCAGTGGGTAGACCAAGAATGCATCCTTCACTGGAATAAAATGACTGCATGGGCCAGTTATGCTCTTCTTGTGTAACTGGCTGTCAATTGGGAGCAGAGGGGGCCGACGAAACGTTTATAGTTTAATAAGATAAAGTGTTTCAAAGGGAGGTGACGTTTTTAGGACAGTCTAGCATGTTGGTCCCGCTTATCTCAGCCCAGATCTACAGACCCTGCATTGGCAGCTCCGGGTGTTGCAGCATTACCTAGGCTTGAACTTTTTCTCATTGCTTTGGGTCTTTAACCCTTAAAAGCACATCTGGTGCTTGGATCCTACGGATACCGCACCCGCACAGGGGTTGCATATTTTGCGGGGTGGTGGCTCTCCTCCCCCATGCCCGTGTCCCCCGCCGGAGCCTCTCTAGCCCTGCGCTCTGGTTTCTCTCACCCGCCGGCTAACAGCAATTGCATGGAAGTTCAGCTGCTTTTTTTCTTTCTCTCCAGTGAACATGTGTTTCCAATATCCGAGTGAGCCCAGCGGTTGGAGGCCGTTGTTGCTGAGCCCTGTGCTGATCTTCCATCCCCGTAGCCTGATAGTCCGTCTGGGGCCGGCGCTCGCTCCCCGGCTGTGGTTTGGGGGGCTGCACTTTCCTGCCCCGGTGTCAGAGCCGGCCTCAGGCTCACATGTCTCCTCCTGCCACGGGATGGAGATCAGCTGAGGAATGAATGAATGGGGACAAACCCCACCGGGAAGGAGAAGTTGGTGGGAAATTTTGCTTCTCTGAGAGCTCGAGCAGGCATTGGGTTTCCTTTCTGCTCCCTTGTGAAGCCCAAATTACATTTCTCATCATCACTGATGGGCTTTCCCCAGTGCTTCCTGTGGTCCATGAACACAAGTGGGTGGCGTGGCCACCTCTCCTGTGGGGTGGAGCTGCTGTGGCAGCGCTGGTAGCAGAGGATCACGCTCATTTCGGAGGACAAGGGTTTGGGAGGCCATGTCATGGGGTTGTTGCACAAGGTTGAGCACAGGTTTGTGCCCTTGCTGGGGCAGGACATCTGTGGTCCCATGTGGAAGGGTATGGGAAGAGAATCCAGGTCCTTGCTTTGGTGCTTCTGGCTTCGCTGGGAGGCAACGGGGAGCATGGCTGGCAAGGGCAGTGGCTCATAGCGCTGCAGGGACCTGCCCTAGGGACAACCACAGCCAGCTGTGGAGGACCCCACTGGTACTGCATCCATGTGTTTCCCGTGCCGCTTGCTGTCCTGGGATCCTTGGTGCCATCCGTCCCAGGATAGTAATTGCACAGGGCTTGTTTGCATTGCCTTCAGGGAACTGCTGCCCTCGCCACCTGACACAACCACAGCAGTGGTGGCCTGTGTCCATCTGTCTGTCCCCACTCGCACGGTCAGGCATGGCGCAGGACTCGGCATCCCCCCCGGCACGTGGCTGCTGCAGGCAGCTGAGGCTAAGCCTGCCAGGTCATTGGGTGAGAGCTTGCTTTTTTCTTAAATAAAAAAGGAAGGAGGGAGGGGAAAAAGCAAAGTTAACCAAGTGTCCAGACTCAGAGGCTGCCCAGATTCAGAGGCTGGAGCGCAGGGTTGCTTGGCTCTGTTTCAGTCTGGCCCTCCCATCAGGGCAGCTCAAGGGTTAATCATTGGAGAAGTTTCCGCTGCTGTCTCCCTTTGCAGGGAGTTGGGGCAGGCTTTGCAACCCATCTAGTTTCCACCCCCCATCCTTCTTGTAACACTCCGGTAAAACCATGTGTGCGAAGGCTAAGTAACGTGCTGGCAGGGGCTTTTGGCTGCAGCTGCGCAGGGCCGGCTCTTTGCCACCCAATAAATATCTCGGCTCTGACCCCTGTGAAGCACCGCTCGGCTCTGAAAAGGGACTCTGAATCACCACCCCGGCCTCGGCAGCACCTCA